CCAGGGGGCGAGGGGCTACCACCGGCCTGCCTTAAGGCTGAGTCGATCTGAAAGAGCCACTAGGCTTCTTGGAAAGCAAATCAATAGCATCTCTTGACAGCTTTGAGGGGCAGATTTAGAAACGGGAGCCCCACTTCACAGCATGGAAACTGAGGCCCTGAGAAATTATAATAGAGGCCTGGCCCAAGCCCCCAGAGACAAGTCTCAGCAGCCCCAGTCCTCTCTGCCTGTGCTCTCAGCACATCCGATCTCCCTTCCAGCCTTCTGCCTCAGGTGTCCTGAGATTCCCAGTTCCTTCCCTACCTCCACCTTGCTCCTCCCAGAAACCCTGAGAATAGGAAAGGGTGGTCTCAAACCCCCTCCCTCCATCCAACTCCTGTCCCAGTTCTCTCTGGGCAACCGAGCACTGAATTCGAGGGCCAAATACCACTCTGTGGGGAGTGTGGTCCTCATGTGCCAGCTGTGGTTCCTCTTTCCTTCACACCTCTGTCCACTGTACCAACAAGAGATGCTCACGCAGCTCGTCTGGAATCAGCCCTCCTGACTCTGTCTGCACCCTGACCCAGGCCACCTTCATCTCCAGCTCGGACTATTGTAGTAGCTCCTCTCTGGTCGCCCTACTGTCACCCTTACCACTCCTCCCCACCAACATGTTGCATTCTTTTGTTAAGTTATTTATTTCTTCCAGGAGAGAAAGACAGATAGGCGTGCCCAACAGGGTGCTCATGCCACAGTCCACCTTCTCAGTCACCTGGATCATGGATGTGCTCAGGAACTCTTCCATGTGGGTCCAGCTGTGTTGTTACACGATGGTTCCACCAGGCCCACACATACTCCATGCCACACGGACTCCATTCCGTGATTTCTAGAGGCCAAGGGTTCCCATCACACTGAACCTCCCATGACGTGTCTAACTCAGTTCTTGCCCACCCTCTGTCCCCCTCACCATCCAGCCACACGCACTGGGCTCACACCTGCTGGTCATGCTCTTCCCTGCTCTGCACAGCTGGCTCCTACCTCGATCAGCTCTTAGCAGCCCCCAACCACCCCTCTCACCCCTCCTCTAGTTAAATGTTCTGTATCACACGCTTTCCTCACTTCTTTGACTTGCCTCACAGAATCTCAGTGCCTTCCAGAGTCAGTGTTTCATAAAAATCCACTGAGTGAATGAAGGGATGGATGGATGATGCCTAGCTGGCATTATGCTGTTTAGCTGGGCAAACAGTAAACAGAGAAAGGGCCTACCCCTCATGGGCTCTCAGCTTAGCTCCATGTTTACCTGAGTTCACATGCGTCACCTGGCTCCAGAGCTCCCCATGAACAAGTGGTCCACACCCCAGCAGCCTGGGGATCAAGTCTAACTCACAAATGTGTTTTGTTTGATGCATTCGCTGTTTTTTAAAAAGTTGAGCTGTGGAGTCAGCAGGTAGCATGGTAGTTAAGGCACTGGATTTCCATATGGCTGAGAGTGGTTCAAGTCCTGGATCTGGCAGCTTGCTCTCTTTGTTTCTTTTGAGTGCACATGCCCTATAGCAAATTTTTAAAAAATAAATAAAATAAGGGGCCAGCTGGTGGCTTGATGGTTAAGGGCATTGGACTCCCACATGGCCAACTGCAGTTCGAGTCCCGGACCTGGCCGCTTGCTTTCTCACTTTCCCTCTCTCTCTCTCTTTCACTCTGTCCCTTTCTGGTCAAATTAAAATAAAATAATTCTAAATAATAATAATAATAATAATAATGGGCCTGGCATCATGGTTGAGGGCACTGGATCCCCATAGGGCCAACTGTGGTTTGAATCTGAGACCCAGCAGCTTGCTTTCTCACTTTTCCTTTCTCTCACTCTGTCCCTCTCTGGTCACATTTAATAAATAATAATAAATAAATAAACAGATAAAGCTAAATAAAATATTTTTTAAAAGAATTATTTGTTTATTCATTCATTTTACTTTGACCAAAGAGAGACAGAGAGAGAGAGAGAAAATGAGAAAGCAAGCCACCAAGTTCAAGACTCAAACTATGGTCAGCCATGTGGGAGTGTCCAGCATCATGCCGCCCTATGGCAAAAATTTAAAAGAAAAAGTTGAACTAACATTTACAAATTGGTAGATTTCACAGCCAAATTTGGACTTCTGGCTTCTCTTGGAAAATGGAAAGCCATGGCTATGTTGGGTTTCTATATGTGAATAACGTAACTGTGACTGCCTTTTGGATAGGCATGTTCTCCACCCGCTCCACCACCCTAACACCTCCCTGTCAGCCAGTGTTAGTTGCCCTTTTTTTAAAAAAAGATTTATTTAATTTTATTTATTCGTTTATTTATTTTAATTTGATTGGAGAGACAGAGAGAGAGAGAGAGAAAAAATGAGAAAGCAAGCCATCAGGTCCAGGACTTGAACTGTGGTCGGACATATGGGAGTGTCCAGCACCTTACCCACCACACCACCTGCTGCTGGCTGCGCCCCCCCCCGTTTTTTAACCATACGTTGATATGGTACAGGTGCATAGGCAAGCTACAGAGAGAAGGAAAGTGAGAACTCACTCCCCAGGGGGATGGCACTTTATAATCCCTTCATCTCCCTTCTTTCAGGATTTTGGGCAGACCCGCACACATACCCAGTGTGTTTCTCAGTCTGCCAGGTCTGGGACTCAAACTGCAGAGTCCCAGACTCAGTACTAAAGCGTCAGCCACTTGGGATCCAGTGCCTTAACCACCATGCCACCTGCTGGTCCCTGTAGTTTGTAGCTGCCTTTTTTTTTTATGGAGAGGTTCTTGCCATAGAGCGGTGCACTCTCACCAGACAGACAGATAGAGAGACAGAAAGCGAGAAATCACCCCCCGGGGGGATGGCCACGCCGCAATCCCTTCTCCTCCATTCTCCTCTCGGACACACACACACACACACACACACACACACACGCACGCGCCCCACGCGAGTTTTAAGCCACCAGGTTCGGGATGCAAACCACAGTCGACTACATGGGAGGCCAGCGACATAGCCATTAGGCTAACTGCTGGTCTCCTGTAGTTGCTTTTTATCATTGAATTTGCACTATTGTTTCCCTCTCTTACGGACAAGGACTTAGTCCCTTGGCCAAACTCATAGGCTCCAGGAGTGAGGGAGAGGGAGGCTTGTCTGCCCCCAAAGTCCAGTTCTCCCCAGCCTCCCGCTGGGCACTCCACAGAAGTCCTGTGGGTGGATGTGAAGTGCTCCCCACTTTTGAAAATATATTTTCTTCTACTTGGTGCCTCAAAGTCCACCATCAGCCAGTTCCTCTCTCTTTTGACTCCTGACTTTTGAACTATGCAAATTCATTTTGCAGACTCATTTCCACTAAATCTGGTTCAGCAAACATTTAATACATGAGGATGGTGAACGTGCAGTAGAAATTCTAAATGTTAGTTTATTGGGGAAGGGGTGGAGAGCTAGAACCAAAGGGTCCCATTCCTATCCTTACGAGGTTATCTAGGAAAAAAAGCCCAGCTATGGGCAACATGTCACAGTAAAAGGGCCTCATGGAGGCCACCCAGCACTGGGGACACCCCTCCAACTGGGCTGGAGATGGAGCAGAGCATAATAAATGGGGAGGGGAGGTACTGGGTCAAACCTCCGCCCAAGGGTAGGCTGAGGGAGGAAGTTCTCTGGGTAATTGCAGCGGACCAAAGGAGGCTGGGCCTGACCCCTGTCTGGGGTCCTCAGGCCATCAGATCTGGGGCCTCGCAGCACCTGAAGTCTGGCTATTTGGAACAAGTAGGAGAGTTACTGCCTGTGTGTTGCTTAAGACCCAGTGGTCAAGGCGCTGGGGTTTTCGGGATATCGATTGGCTCAGCGCACAGCACGGACGCCGCTTCCTCCACGAAGCATTCCCCCGTCTGAAGGCAGGCTGTGGTCGTGGCAGGCTCTGGGCTGCGGCTGTGTGCGTTCCCGCCTCCCCGCCCACCCGCCGGCACGCTCCTACTGTCCCGCGTGCCTTCGCGCACGAAGCCGGGGCCGCAAATACCTCTGGGCTGAACTACGGAATTGCTCAGCTAGGTCTTGAGGAACCTGGGTCACCAGAACCCAAGCCCGGTCCAACAAGTGAGGGCTGGGCCGCCCGTTCCCGCCCGGTGGCTTCGCGCCTCCCCAGGCGCCCCAGGCGCGCCTGGCTCGGCCAGACCCAGTTGGGCGAGTTTGGTTTCATCACTTGCGGAGCGTGCGAGCGCCGGTGCAAATAACGTTGCCCCCTCCCTTCCCTGCCATTCCCTGCTCCCTCCGAAACTCCCGTTTGCAAACGCTAGCACGCGGGCTGGGAGGTCTCGGGCGGGGACCCAGCCGGCTTGGCAGCCCGGGTACCGGGTGCCCAGTGCCCGGCTCCCGCCCCCC